TATGCTGCAGAAACAAAGAATGCTCCAACCTTAGTGGCATGTCAAGGGAACTGTTTATTTCTCACTCAGAGCACACATCTGACACAGTGCAACAGTGAGCTCCACCATCATAGTGGATCCAAGGAGCCAGCTGATGGAGATTCTATCTTCATATCTGCTTCCATGGTGTCATGACAGAGATGGCAATGAGGTAAACCACAAATTGGCTCTCAAAGCTTATTTCTAGATCTTAACTCTCCGCTCCACAAATATTTACGGGATCTCCTCTACAGGTATGATACTTATCTGGGATGCTTAATCAGAAAGATTATGCTGCAGAAACAAAGAATGCTCCAACCTTAGTGGCATGTCAAGGGAACTGTTTATTTCTCACTCAGAGCACACATCTGACACAGTGCAACAGTGAGCTCCACCATCATAGTGGATCCAAGGAGCCAGCTGATGGAGATTCTATCTTCATATCTGCTTCCATGGTGTCATGACAGAGATGGCAATGAGGTGAACCACAAATTGGCTCTCAAAGCTTAATGACATACATTGCTTGTCACATTTTATTGTCCAAAGCAAGTCATAAAGTTGTGCCTAACTTTAAAGAGATTGAGGAAGTACAATCCTACCATGTACCCAAAGGGACAGAGCCATGTCAATAGTCCTAACATTGTATGTCTGTCTAAAGAGAAACCTAATAAGCACCATCCTATTATCTAAGACCTTAGAAACTAGTTGCAGAAATTATATATATACATACATTGTGTCAACAGAGTTGAGTATCAGGTACAAGATGTTCTACAACTCAGAATGTGTTGCTTAGAAAAAAGTGTTTAAGGATTTCTGTGATAGAAGCAACAAATGTGGACAAGTGAATAAGGAAGTATGTGGAAAAGGTGAGACTGTATAAATTGTTGGATTCTGAGTGAGAAATGGGAGGAGAAAAGATATTCATGGTTGTAACGACATTGGATAAAGCAGAGGTGGGGAAGAGGCTTCTGGAAAGTGGGTGTGAATTGACCTGGAAGAACATTAAAAATACTTAGAAGCAACGAATCTCTTAGAAAATATTTTAGATTTTTTATATTTAGAAACTTAAAAAAATCTTTCCCCATCATCTTAGTGATCTTGCTTTAGCACTTGAGAAAATTACCAAAGGCAAACCACCTATCTCATGTACAATTGGATGGGAGCTGGCTTTTAATTAGATGCCCAATAGAAATAAGCCATAATAAAATTGCACATTAAAGGGATATTTAAATTTTTCCTTTTGCTATGTTACCTTTGTCAGCTTCTCCTTATTGTCAATATATCTTACTAGAGGCCTGGTGCACAGATTTGTGCATCGGTGAGGTCCCTCAGCCTAGCCTGCAGGGATAAGGCCAAAACCAGCTCTCTGACATCCTTCAAGGCATCCCGGATTGTGAGAGGGCGGTTCTCGGGTGACGCGCCCCAGAATCAGGTTCCCTCCTCTCTGGTTCCAGGTGTGTCACCCAAGAACCGCAGCTGCCAAGTCACCGCAGCTCGGCAGCTCCTATGTTGAGCGTCTACTGATGGTCGGATGGTCGAACAGTAGGACAGTCACTTAGGCTTTTATATGTATAGATGACTTTGTCTTAAACTTTTTCAGTTAGCTTTCTATGTAATTTGTATACTTCTGTTAAATTCTGACTAGAGTATAGTGTTCTGTAATATTCTGTGAGAATATGATACTAATGTCCATTTTGGAAGCAAAAGAAAACTCAAATGAAATAAAGGATATGGGAGGTTTTCATTGTTTAAAAATAAATTCAGTGATCTCTCGTTCACCCTGCTTCTTTGATAAATGGTGTAAGAGAAAGAATTTTACCAAGTCATGGATTGAAATCGGTCCAAAATAGACCACAAAATTCCCTAGGGGGATGTACTGATCTTAGATATTCTGTTGGTTGTTGCTAATTCAAACTTTGACCGTCTATTATCTCAGTGAAAATGGAAGTCTCCTTAGTGCAGGGCCTCATGTGAAGATATTCTTTATACCCAGAGCTCTAGGTAAGCCCAGACAGAAAACTTTTAATGTGGATTTCAATGTTATATAAATCATTTGATCAACCATATTTTTGCAATAGAAATTCTGACCTCCAAAGCAAGAAAAGACATTCTTCCACTGGACTTTTTATAACTAACTGAAGGCAATTGTAAATATAATTTAGTTTCACTACCTACTTAGCTTCATTACCATTGTGTTCTGTGTATGATCCATTTTCCTGGGACTTTTATAAACACGGATACTGAATTGGATCAGTTTACAGAATTGAATTAATTTAATTCATTCTAATTAGGAAACTGTAAGGAACTTGAAGCCATGATTGAGCTCAGCATCCCTGAAGCCATTTTGGGGGAGTCATAAAAAAGGAATTTCAGGATCATGTTCTGCATGGCAACCTCAGTTACCTTTCTTCTCTTGAGCTTGCTCATCAATGTCCCCACTCCATGCCCTAGTCACCAAGGATGTTTGAATGGAACCTCACCTTTCCATTCCCCTTTCCAGTTCAGTTCATGCTCATTTCTCTCCTAGATTACTGTACCAGCCTCCTAACTATTCTTCCTCTCTCCTAATTTGCTTCTCTCCTGCCTCTTACCATACCCCTTCCTCCACCGTCCCTTTCAGCTTACTTGTGGTTATGCTCACCTCTTCTGAGGATCCTCTGCTGATCTCCCTAGTCTGAACTGTGAGTTAATTTCGGAGCATTACCCCAGTGCCTTGTGATTTCTGCGGTCATAACCTTTCACGTGGTACAGTAACTGCACATTTCTCTGCTCCCTACTAGACTGGAAGCTACTCGAGGTCAAGGATGCTCTCCACTTTGGGTCTTTAAGTCTAGCACACAAGCAGTCCCTAAATAAGTATTTGTGGAATGACTACATGAATAAGTAAGCTATTAAGAAATGAATGTGCAAGCAAACAAACAAAAAAGAAATAGAAATATAAGAAATTAGTCATTCTAGTAAGATTCCAAATCAAGGAACTTGAATGGTCTTCTGTCTACTGCTTGTCCAGGTTCCCAAAAATTGAAGATGCAGCCCCCTGTTATGGCTGGATAACAGTAAACACGCTGTCCTAAAGCTCGCTAAGCAGTTCAATTCAGCTATTTTGCACAATAGTTGTCAACAGCGCATTAGCTAATGCAAAAGCTCTGCAATAGGCATTGCGTGGAAGTTTATCTCAAATGTGCAGAAATTGGGAAATGGGAACAATAAAGTTCCCATACTCTATTATCAAACAGTAAATCACTTCTTAGAATAGAATAAAGTCATAGAAATTTCCTTTTTCTTTTCAGCACCAAAATAGCAAGCTTTTCACTGTTCTTTTTCTTAACCATGAAATTTTGATTGACATGATAACACTAAAATAGATCACCCAGGCAATTGATAAAACTTTCCTATGGCGACCAGTCAGGTGACAATTTTTTCTGCATCTTTTCTCTTGGAAACTAAAGGAAAACATCTCTTTTTCTGATAGTCTTAAATTGTAAGTGCTGGATTCCAAATCACGTTCGGCAGGTCTCTTTAATACACAAGCGTATTTACAGGGTATAAAATCAGTCATATTGGTTTCCCTCGATTATGAATATAATCATAATTATTTACAGGCCCTGAATGTGACCAAAGGAAGGCATCTGTTATGATATCACTATTGCCAATGTAAAAAGCAGCCTGATCTTTTCCTCATTTACTCAGAATAGTCCTCAGAATCTGCCGCAGTCCTTTCGGGCTGCTGTAACAGAATACCATAGACTGGGGGGCTCATAAACAACATACATTTATTTCTCATTGTTCTGGAGCCTGGCATCCAGAAGATCCCATATCTGGTGAGGGACCGTTTTCTGGTTCATAAATGGCTGTTTTCTTTTTTTAAAATCTTTATTATTGAAAGTATTACGTATGTTCTCTTCTCCCTCCCCCCCATTGAGTCCCTCCAGCCTGCCCCCTGGCCCCTGCCCCAGATCTTCACCACCCTATTGTCTGTGTCCATGGGTTATGCACACAGACGGCTGTTTTCTAGCTGTGTCCTCACTTGGCAGAAGGAGCAAGGGAGCTCTCTGGGGTCTACATTATAGGAGCATTAACCCTAGTCATGAGGGCCCTGCCATTATGACCTAATTGCCTTCCTAAATCTCCACCTCCTAACATCAACACATTGGGGGTTCAGGCTTCAACATATGAGTGTTAGGGTGACACAAACATTCAGTACATTACAAAATCTTTCTGGGTTTATGTATAAAAAAAAATGTGCACAAAATGACTCCTGTCTTGGTCTTTTTGAGGGTTTGCTTGTTCTTTAAATTTTTTTTCCTAAATGGTTAGAGATAGGTGGAACATTTAGTTTTGTCTAGAACATTTTAATCATCCTCTTGGATTTCACATAGTGAAGTTAGGTTGATATAATGATCAAATCAGCTCACCCATATTCATAACCAGGAGGTGGGCGTCTACATCAAAAGTAACTCAATTTTTTTTTCCTTAAGAGCCACATCAAAATCACCGTCAAGAAGTAAGAACACATTAAAAGACACAGGCCTCCTACTATACTAATGAATATTTGAGTCCTCATGTCTCTTTCTTGAAACTACTGCCCTGAAAGTAATAGCTGACTCAAATGATACAAGACGTTTGCAAAAGAACATTGTGATCAGTTCCTTTTGAACAAAGGAGAAGCAGGAAGGCAGTTTTACCTGAGCTCAAGTTCTCATTCATACTGAGGACAGCCACCTGGGTCCTTAGTGATAAATGCGATAAATGTGCAAATTCAGAAATGTGCGTTGCAATGCCAAGTTAAACAAGGCATCACCTCCCCAGTGCACTATTCCTACCCTGCTACCCAAGCACAAGGCATGGGCTGGACCATTTCCGTATGAAAGTTCAGAAGATACAGCAGTAACATGGTTTTAAACAGACTGAGTCATACGAAGTGATGGAAAGGTGATGCAAACCAAGAGCATATTGATTCTGTTTCCATATCTATTACTCACTGCAACAGCTGGTCCATTCCTCCATGCCTCTCCCCTGTGAGGACCGTACAATGGAAAATGGGTCTTCTGGTAATTCCCATTTCACCTCTTACACAAACACACTTCACTGCACACCCTGGAGAGTCACAAGCTGCACTCTGGGAAATGTTAATAGAGGAATTAAACCAAAAAAAGAAAAACTGTGTTTGTTGGGGTAAGCAAAATTAATTGTGTTTCTTTACCAAAGGAGCCATTTAACATTTCTTGAATATGAGAACCTACATTATGTCTCTCTAAATAGAATATGCAATGTGACTCATGCTTACTTGATTACAAAGATTTCTCTTTGAGATAAACTTACTTCCATTTCAGAAAGCACTGGAGTTGAATTACAAAACACTGAACTAAATGTAGCTGTAAATTAAGAACAAAGGGCTCGCATTTTTCTTTCTGCCTCTGAAACTGACTTACCAAGTTGTCATAAGAAAGGCTTTGATTTCTTTGTACATGAACTCCAGATCTTAAATGTTCACAATTTTTTTCTAAGAAAAAAGAAAAAGATGAGTAAAACAGTCCAGATATAATCATTAAAATGGGCAATATAATCATATTTTTAATGAGAGACCTTGTTAGGAGATTATAATTTCAAATCTATATTTCTTTTCCAATTTTAGATGCTAGTAGTATACATGCAAGCCCTCTTACTGTTCCCTTCATTTGGAGTGGATTATGAATAATCACTTCATTCAGGGAGGACAGGACACACACTCTAATTAGTATTATTAACTTCCACAACATGGGTCTTCTTTTCTGCT